GTCTTTAATTCTCTAATATCGAATATCTACATATACTTTGCAATAACCATTTAAATACTTCAGACGATGCTTATCTCTGTTCGTAGTTGAGACAAAATTTGACTAATACGTCCGACATTGAAAAATGATATCTTTTAAACGTTCTCCCGCGTAATTTTGTGCGCTAAATTAAATAACGTAAACAATTTTTTACTAGAGAGATTCAATCGCTAAATTCATTCCATTACTTGATTTTCAATTTAAAAATTGTTTTCATAAATTTGAACTACCCCGGGGTTTCTTTTTAAAACACTTTTGAAACGTATACGTTATGGATCAAAATTATGTCTAAAGATGTTGAATCCACCCCAATTCCGGGTTGGAAGTTACGAATGCCTCTCGAATACGACCTTCTCATTTAAAGAAACTGAATATTACATTATTTTATAAGAAATGTTCAACGATGAAAGCTTTGTTCATCTATGTATTCAGCTAGCCAAAAGGAGTCAGATAATATCCACATTGTGCGCGTTTGACGTTACCGACTTTTTCGGTAAAGTTTTTTAATCCAGCTCTATTCATAGTTTTGATATTCAAGAGTGCTCCTACTTGTCGTTATTGACTATTTTTTAGCAAATTTTTGCAAGAATCGGTAGAACTTTATTTCCAGGCAAAACATTATTTCATGTTTTGAGTCGACGCATGAAATAATCCAAGAAAAAAGAATCGTTCTCCAATGTCGACTATATTGGCCAAATTTACCAGGGTTAAAAGAATATGTTTCGAGGAGCAGAGCTTCACGTGATCGGTGACTGGTGTGGATGGGGTGCTTTGGAATGGATCGGGTCGAAACAAAAAGAAGGAAAGAAAATAAAAATGAATTGCAGTGAGTGACCTTGTCTATTTTCTATCGATAGTTCGAGTCTATATTATTGTTATACTGTATTCACCTATCGTCCGTAAGAATGAGTACCATTCACATGGATCTATGTAACTTTGCTGCATTGCTATTGCATTTATGTAAATCGTTTACGGATTTCCGTTGGTCTGATTAAATTCGCTATCGAGACGATCGGTGATTCGTTCGCGCTTGGTGCAGTCCTTCGATACGTCCACGATTCGAGGCTGCAACTGCTGCTATGTATCGTTGATCGCATCATCGTATTATCGAAACGTAAAACCGCGCTTTGTATAGTGCGCGTCCGTCTGCGAAACAAAACTCTGAGACCCGCAAAGCGAAGTTGTAACGAGAACATTTTGTACATACAATACAATCGCGTGAATGCTCCTACTGTGAGGGTAACGAACAACATCTAGGGGTGGTTCGTGACGCTATAGACAACTGATATACGCTGAGGCGTTTCGAACGCTTTACAATGTGCAGGTGATTGTCTTTGGGTTTTCGATTTGCGGGTTGGTCAGCGGTCTGAACAATTCTACGACTAGAGAAACTAAACAAAGAAAAAAGTGTAACCTCGTTGACATAACAAAACGAAAGGAAAACAAGTGCGAACCGTGGACACGAGTATCGTCGCGACTGCTACCCTTTCATCGATCGCTCGGTACGATTACGGATTGCTATTGCGATTAACACATAGGGGTGTGGGGGGCGTAGAAGTACAAATTGTGTAAACAGACAGGCGAACGGACAGACAGACAAACAGACGTTGGATCGGAGGCATGTAATACTTAGGCTTACAATACTGTAATGGATAACATTATACACGCATTCAATTTCCGACGTTCCCTTTCAACATTTTTTCCGGCTGATCGTTGTCATTGATTTTCCACCGATTTGTCGGCGCAGTATTAAGGGCGATGAACCATCAATGAACAATGAAAACGAGTCGGTCAATCGAGCAGCCTTCAGGATACATTTCATTTTTTTTTTTTTATTATCTACGATTCGGAATTAGGGGGTCTCTTTTTCTCTCGTACTCTCTCGTTCTGCCTCATACGATATACCTATCTCTCTCCGCACACTCGTATTTACAATAATTCGTTACTCTAGTTGCCGTTCAATTGATCTCTTTCCCTTGGCCAACGCGGGACGACAACTTCTGCTCGCCGTTCTTCTTTTCCTTGTGTCCTCGAACGATCTTCAGCCATCGTACGCACGTTTCTTTTTACGCCGGAAATAATCGTATACGCTTTAAGCTCCGTTCACAATGACATCCAAGCACTACGCTCGTCGCATCGATTACAATTTATGCTCGCCGTTGCGGAATAGCAGTACAAACATTCGTCAATTACGGTCAATCGCGCGAAATTTGTTACAGAAACATCTCGCTCTTCGATCGAATCGTTAGCGATACTCCATCGGGAATCACCTACTTGTTTGTGTTTCGTCGGCTCGAGTAACCGTCTACTCGGTTGGGAGCTGTGAAAACAAAAATCGGGTGGTCGGACTATAAGGCCGTGCCGCATGCGTATCGACGTGACTACTAATGGGCTCGAAACGCTTTTCTACTCTTTAATGCGTCTTTACGAGAGTATTGCCGATAGGTTAATGAAATTTTCTTGCCGAACGTAGGCTCGACAGACCTTACACGAAGTATTTTTAATTATATCCTGACAGCGAGATAAACAAGATCACGTGACTGTATCAAGACCGAAACTAGCAGTAGGATATTCTCCAAATAGATACAGTTATAGTAGAACTTATGAAAGATGCTATTTATATGTATGTTACAGTTATAACGCGAACATATTCAATGTATAGATTCACTGTAGTTCACGATTTTAACTGTAACACTCATGTAAATATTAATAGCAACGAATCGCTGTACAATTCTATATGTACTATATTTAAAAAAAAAAAACCTCACAAATTAATTAATATTATCTTCGCAAAAATATAATGAAAAATATAACTAATTGCAAGTTTTATTAGCATCGGACACATCGATAGGCGTTCGACACGAGATACTCGTTATCGTATCTATTATTTGAGTTCGACCAGTCCCGAGAAGAAATTCTTGGCCGATCCTCCGTTCATGATAACTAAAGGTCCCATTTTGTCTATCACGAAGAGAGGCAGTTCCGTACAACGTATGGTACGAACGACGATTTCGCATTCCAGAGGGAGGCGCGCGTGACAGATGCGAGAACGACCAATCCCGTATTGGCAGTAACGTGATTTGAAGTTTGGAATAACGTTTATAGGACAACGACGCGTGACACGTGATGCATTGTCGTGGCAATGATGTCGTCGCGCGATTCGATTCGAGATACTTGACGTTTGCTATGACTATTGGCAGTACTGCGTTCGGCAGAAATGTAGATCCGGTTGATCGTCGGCAGTAGACGCGTATTGACAAGCTTTCATGACAATTGACTGCCATCGCATCGTAAACGGAACTTCAACGTTCGCGAATAGGGCGTACGTGGGGACAGCTCCGAGCGGCGTTGCGTGTAACGATCGTGTGACCACCCGTGCATGTATACATGTAATCCCGTACGTTTTACAAATAAATGCGACCTGCACGCGCGTACGTACTGTTGGTACGCTGTATGGAAACGAAGTATCTGCGTAACAGCGGACAATAAATAGAGTATGAAAAAAAAAAACAACAGAGGCAACAAAGACCGAAGAGAACGATGTAGTACGAAGGACGATACAATTGGAACCGACGATCGCATGGCCGATTGGTTGGAACCAGGGCTGGATTAAGGCAAAGCCTTTTGAGCCTACAGCGCAGAAGGTTTACAGAGATTAACCCTTGGGTTACTGTGTACTATATTACAACGAAAGGACTTCCGGTAAATTCGACCTATAACGACATTATGTCCATACGGTAGAAAGTAGAGCAAATCTTTACATTATTACATTTTTGAACTACTCGAAAAGAATATGAGTTCTTTGTAGTATTTTTTTTTATTTATTGTATCTATTATCGAGAATCAACACTCGTTTCCGATGATACATGTTTGGATAGCAAACTACCAGCTGCTTGTTTTGACAAATTATTTTGGTTAAAAATGTAATAATAAATAACGATTCAAGAATCTACACAGTCTTAATCTAGCGCTGGTTCGAGCAACGTATACGAGGAAAACTAAAAGAAGAAGAAAACAACGAACGGTGGATGATGATCCGATGATGACAGGGGGGCGTGAACTCATCGTTAATGCTCGCGTCATGTCGTTTTACCCCGCCGAATACGTAATTTATTCGCTATTGAAATTTGATATTTTTACTAGTAAATATAGAATATCGAGTTGTGATTATTCGTAGCGTAATGATAGCGGATAATAAATATAATACAGATCTATAGATAGAGTTCGGTAATGTACAACTATAATACAAAAATTTCATTTTTCGTTTCTCGCTCCGCGACCAGTCTCTCTTTCACGCATTAATCATGCTTTCTTACGCTCCTCCTCGCTCGTTTTTTTTTCGACGATTTCCGAGCAAAGCGAGGAATATCGGAATTTCTCGACAGGTCGACGAAACTTCACTCGTTCATCGAATAGCGTCACGGTTTTTCGAGAAACCGTGGATCGGAACTTAACAAAAAGCTCGTCGCACGTTACACAGTTCATTTTTATGACACTCACAATTCAATGGGCAATCCTCGTGTTCTGGTACACACGCGTCTCCCAACACACGCACTCTTACATTTTCACTCACGCCTTATCGCACTCTTTCGTGTGTCATATAATAAGATTTTACCTAGTATACGGCACTCTCTTAAATCCTCCTACCCCGTGTTAGGGGGATAGGAGCCACTTGTACATATTCATTAGGAATTTATTTACACGCGTGCTAATTATCCTGCTCGCGATCACCAACGCGGCTCGAACGGTCCTTCGTCCATGATGTCGTTGTTTAATTCCATTGCTGCATTTCACTTTGTCTTGCGAAAAAGAAACAATTTTTTGATCGTTAAAATATTCGTTACTTAATTAATTTTCCAGGCAGACGATAAGTTTGGACATCACGGGCAAATCTAGTAAAATGTCTTCGATGAATTTTGTAGGGATTGGGTTTTGTGGATTCCCGGTCAAGCACATTATTCGACTTCGACTCAACGATTTATCGTATGATTTTTGTTGTCCACCGCTACCACAAAATCTGCCGTACTGTAAGAACATCGGATAACGACGTATCAATCTTCTTTCCATATTTTAAACATTCAGCAAAGAGAGTCATCTTAGATTGTACAATTTTGACTGAAAAATATAATCCTACGATGTCGCTAGTTCGATATTGTCTATGCATGATGCACTAGTTGCATAGTTTAGAAAGGATCTTTGACAAAGATCACAAAATTCTTCGAAATATGAAATGAAAATATTTCTTCGAGAATATGGTAAACAATTATTTTCAGACATCGTTGAAATACATATTCATGTAATCTGACTTTACGATATACTGCTCCAGAAACACGTTGCAAACGAGATTGAAGTTTTCTAACGGGAAATCAAGTCAAGAGAAATAAATAATATTAAATCTGTAAAAATGTTTCCTATTGGTCAAAACAACTCAGTATTTGCCCATTAATCTCAATATTTTTAAATAAATATTATAATCCAATTGGCCATTGGCAATTCATATTAGGATTATTCATATTAGAATTAGAACTATTTCTGTTTAAATTTTAATTTTTGCACCATTTTCTCCATTATTTTCATTACAAAAGTTGTTTAGTAACAAGAGAATGTTAAAATCAAGGAATTACTACTCTTTGCGAAGATCAGCCATTCTACTTTTGGCAAGATTTGTCGTAGAACAGGTTATTATATGTGTAAGTCTGAGTTGATACCGTCGCGCCTCGTTGGAACTGGTCGTACGACTCGTTATACGATAAATCGTAAACGTGTGTGGTCCCAATTAGTCGTTCTAATCTATTCCCATAACTAGTCGCAATTTGCGTTCAATTTAATGCTCGGTAAATTGCAAAAGATCTGGATGGGCATGATATCGAGAGCATTTCGAAACAAAACATCATGGCGAGACCGATCTCGAATGGCTGCTTTTATCGCCATCTTAATTGCCATTTGCAATATTTGGATGAACGATCGGTGATCATGATTAAGGACCGCCCGTTTATCAACGTCTAGCAGTCAGTCGTACGACAATATCGAATTTCTTGCGCGAACGAGACATCCAGAAGAACTTTCATATTTCTCCGACGAACGTTCATCGCCGCGTTTTCTCGCCGGGAGGATAGTTAGCACACTGTCCACGACTTCGTTCATTTTTCTCGTATTTCGAATAAATATCTAGAATTAGCGTAATGATAAGAAGGACAACCAATACGACTACCATTTATAGTAGTGATAATAGTGGGCATACTATAATAGTGTCTAGTAGTAGCGTTTTTTCTCCTCTGTTTCGTCGTTCTTCGTCTTTGTAAATCTTACTATCTAACGTCTTCGTCTTCTTTCTTCGATTGAATAGTTAATATGGCGTTGCTGCTCGTGTGCCGTGCGTATCTCTCTTCTCTCGACGTTGGTTTTTACGTCGATCTTCCTTATTCTTTTGTTTACTCTTTCCCTAACCACCTCGTTTTATTTTATTCATTTTTGCTTTACCGTTACCTTCCGTTTCTTTTCCTTCCGATTAAGCTTTCTCGTTCTCTCTCTCTCGAGGCAGTCCGACCGTAAGTGGTGCGCGTTTTATTTTCACGATCGAGGGACGGCAGTGCGCGGGGTTTACACGCGCTGCCTCAAGAAATTAATTAAACGTAGGATAATCACAGAAAAAGGGGTTTCGACGTATTGGGGTATACGTTCTCGTCGGTGGTGCCGTCGCTTCACCGCAATAACTGCGGCAGGATTGCGCTGATCAGCAGGCTTCCAGTCAGCATCATCGCCAGCTGGCTGTACCAATTCTCAACCCGGCTGGAACTCGCCCCGTTGTAGGTCAATTCTTCGTTCTTCACTACTTCGTTCGGATGGTCCGAATATTCCTCTGTTGGCACAAACAACATCGATTATCGAAAGGAAGACATTTTTCGTATACCACGCGAGAAACGAAAACACATCAGCCAATGTTTATTGGTCGATTCTTTTCTTCTCTGCATGACATAGGTGTGTTTAATAAGTAAAACATTATGAAGGATAAAAACGAGAGGATGCTCCTCGATAATTGATTCGATGATAGGGAATTAATTCATTAAATATCAGGGTCATGTTTTTATAGAATGTTTAGACAAATATTTTTTACGAGTAATAAAGTTCATTCGAGTATCGTGCGATTTTTTAAGTATGAAGTTGAGATCTGGATAAAGGGCACGGTAATTTTGTTACAATCTATATTTATTATTATTATTATTACCGAATTTCTTTTCTATACATGCGTAAAGAAAATATGTGTAAGAATAAAATATACCTATGGAAGTACATACACCTAAAAATGTTATTTTGAAACTTAACCTCGATTACGATGTATTTTGATTTGGAAATTTATATGACTATACGCTACATTATTATTGGAATACCATGTTAATGTTTTTGTAAATAACATAGAAAATAAAAATTTGTAGGAGAGATTTAATTGTCTCTGTACCTACTGCTTTACAATTACTTGTATATAACCATTTCAGACGCAATATAAATTCATTTTAAATATCGGATTGTAATTTTGGTAGGACAAATGACGGACCAAAACGCTGTCAATCTTTCATTTGTTATTCGAAACTTTTTATTTACACAAGAATTTTTCCCATCTGTGATTTCAGGCTCGACAGATTGGGAACACGAACACTCAGACGTGGTGAGATCCAACATCGGGACTCGTTAATGATCGCGCTGCCTATCGGTAAAATGCAAATGCGAGCATCAGCGGTGCATTTCGAAGTGAAATTATCATAGGTGTCGACATAAGAAGGGCGAGCACCGAGTCGACGACGACAGATGGTTGTCGAGAGATCGTCGAATTGAATTCTCCTTTCCGTTCGACTGTTCTCCATCTGGCACGCGCGCGGGCGAAGTGTCTCTTTTAATCCATTAAAATTTCTCTCTTTGGAATTCTCCATCTCGCGCTCCATTTGCGGCGACGCTAGCAATCCATCAAACGCTGAGTTTTTTCTACTTAGAACTGAAGCAAATCGAGATTTTTGCTGTCGACATCTATGACCATATTTTTTAAACTTAAGTAAAATTGCGAAAAGAAGCGATATTTTTTAAACTTAAGTAGAATTAAATAATAATTTTACCATTGGAATAATATTTTGCTTGTGTAATATCCATAACCCTTTTCATCAATTTTCCATTAATATTATTGAGATTACTATTTTCTGTTTCTTGTAAGTAGTGTCTTTCTTATTTTGGCAATACAGTTCTTTATTTTCGTTACCGTGTGTATTATTTAAAATTTTATTATGTTGTTTACTTCTCATATTAATGTTTCGTAATTTTATTACTTTTGTACAAATTTATTTACCGAAGAGGTTAATATATAATTATTACTTCTTCGATACATTTTAACATTGATTTCTATGAAATTCATATTTGCATTTGAAAATGTTTTATTTTCTTAAAATAATTTTATATACTCTTAACTTGAACTTTTTACACGTTGTTTATCTAAGTAATGTAAACACGTAAAGATGAACGAAATTAGAGAATTCACATGGATCTTTTTGAATATTTTACACAATTTACTTAATAATTAATTAATTTCTTTTGATTTATTTGTATTGAGAAATCCTTATGACTTTACTACGTGTTCAACACCGATGGTTATTAAAGTACATTTATTATTCCGGAAGAAAGCATCTTTTAATTGAAACGTCGAAATAATCAACCTTTCGACCAAATTAGCATTCAATTACATACCGAGGAGTATTTATATCATCCTGGATTGCTTTGATTTAGAAAATATTCGTGCAAAACAATGTATCTTACAAGGACATCAATGCGCCACGAGGTGTGTCGCTTCTTTTCGCATGTTCCACACCAATGCACGCTTTTAATAATCGCTCATTCCAAAGTAATTTTACTGGAGGCATCGGGCCCGCCCGTAATAAGTTGAACAAGGTACGAGGGACGATAAAATTTTAAACCTCATTAAAATTTATTCGCTCGTTATTTACTTTATCTGACTTAATGCGACCGACCGATAAGCCGAATGAATTACGTAAAATGATTGTTCGGCACGCAATGAACCGTCACCGTTCAACTACATAACGGTAATTTAATGACTGGAACAATCTAAAGACGGTCGTCTCGTCTAATCTATCATGGCGGACAGGGACACAAGAAGAAGACCGATCAACGCGACTATGCACACCGTACCTCGAAAAGGAGAAATATCAATTACGTCGCGCTAATAACGAACCACGACGCAAACCGGCAATTCTGCCTTTGAAAGAAAGATTTACATAAGATAACGAGCGGCAAAGTCGTCCGTGGACGAGTGGTTTATCTTAATTTTATGCAACAGTAATTCCGGTATAAAGTAATAATTATCAGCCCGGCAAAAAGGAAGCAACGATTAAAGACACCTTAAACCGCTGCCGACGCAATCCCAAACACGGTACACCAACCTGTCGCCAGGGGATTGGCGAGAAATCCTTTACGTACACCATTTACCCGACACCGTCTCCGATTCCTTTCATTATGGAGGCTTCCGTTTTCGATAATTACACTACACGTCGCGAAGTCAATGGAATAATCGTTCGTGGAAAAGATTCGCGATAACTATAGACACTTCGTACAAGAAACGTTGATTCGAGATGGCAGATGAAGGTCTAGCTCGCGACGAGTTAATTTAGACTTGTTGACAAGAAATTAGTGGATATAATAATCGCGAGGTCGATCGACAGATTCTGAAGAGCGGTATGGAAGAATCGTTGGTTTCGGCCAAAATTTATATACCCTATTGAAACTAAGCAATTTTCGGTATACACTACTGCAATGTAATGTAGTTGATAAAGAACGTGAGAATTGGAAAGCAAAGCAAATTACACGGGAAACATTCGGTTGTATTGGATGGAAGTGGCGCTGATAGAGACCTATCAAGTTTGTGGTTAAAAAGAGATAAATTACCTTCTGAAATAACAGGTTTTGTAATAGCTATCCATATGGTGTTATCGATACGAGGAATTATTGGAAATATGCTTTAGATTGCGGAAGATAAATGTAGGAGATCCTCCGAATAAATTGAATATACGATAGTTGGATGTATTGTATTGGTTAGTATAGTTTACACAGCTACACACCACACCATTCATCGATAGATATGAAAAACGACAAGCCCTTTAGATTAAAAGAGTATCATGCTACAAATTCGAACCACGAGTGGTGAAAAACGAAGCACATATGATCGATAGCTTATAACAGACGTACGTCCCATTTTTGTCAAATTTATGAGTATATATGTTCGTTGCTCTTTTCCTTATGTTCCATAAACATTAAACTTTCATGTAACATAGAAATTTGTTAAACTTATATTTTTCTTTAAATATTCTATACTTCAGAATTCATTATTTTGTCTGGATAAACGCTTAAATTTCTAAACCTCTTTTTCTCGAAACACACAAAAACTGGACATACAATACTATACACAGGTAAAACTTGTTTAACATACAGTGGATGTAGAAAGTATTCGTACACCGATCAATTTCCAAAAAAACTATGTACAATTGTAATTTATTAATTTATTTTTTATAAACCATGACATTCTACATATTCTCGAAAATCTCTAGAATAGATAGAGTACAAAAGAAAATAGCTATTTATGTAAATTGGGATTATTAATAAGAAGAACCAATTAATCGATAGAAATGTTGAAGCAATAAGTATTCGCACAACTGTTTAATTTTTAAAACTTCATTAAAAAAAAAGAAATTTACATTAATTTATAAGTATATAAAACTTCCTTCGTGGGATTTCCTTTTGATTTTATACTCATCTATTCCTCTATTAGAGCTTTTTTTAAAAGTACTTTACTGGAAATCTGATATTTTCTAATTTGTACGAAGCAATAAACTAACGTGTTATGTTATAAACTCTACTGTAAATGGTTCGTCATAAGAATTGTACAAATACTTATTGCTTCTATACTTTTACCCACTTTTCGCATTTTTTTGTTAACTTCACAAATTATATTAACTAGTAAATGTTGTTTGGACTATATCTATCTTAGAGATTTCCGAGAATATGTAAAATATATAAATACAATTTGCCTCAAAATTTTTGATCGGTGTACGAATATATTCTATACCCACTTTATGTGCTATAAACCATTGATACAATAACTTTTATTGGAATGCAACGATTGTCACTTTCAGGTCTTGAAGAAAAAGGGCTGCTTTTCCTTAAAGCAGAAAGAGAGGTGGGGTCCTAGCAGGGACAGAAAGCGATAACCCTCAGTCCAACAAAATAAGTCAAGCCGTACGGGTCGTTGTGAATTCGGACACACTCTTCCTCTAACATTCTTGTATTGTAATCTTTGAGAAAATAAATTTTTAAAAATAAAATGATAACAACTTTTAATAAAACTAGATAATTTCTTAAATTGCCGACAAATTCGATATCCAAAGCTAGCTGAAAAGCCGAAAAATAATCATGATTCAACTAAATAATAACGTAAAGATAGTTCTCGAATGCTGTCTCTAAAAAAGTATCAACTTCTTGAAACGAATACTCGAATAAACGGAGTTAGAATTCTCATAGCGGTATGAATACGATCCCCCTGGTAGAGAGGAATGATTTCAACGTTCACGTAGCCGATAAACGGTAAAAGATGGCACATCTCGATAAATGGTAAAAAGGTATCCGAAAATTCGGATGGTTCGACAGCCCCCTCGTACAATTAATGCGGTGGAGAGGCGCGTCGCGGGAAAAATCGGTTGGCCGAGATAATGGTCACGAGGAGCATCGAGAAACTCGTTTCGCGGCAAAGGGAGCAGGTGGCAAGGCGATGTGTGTATACGTACTGTTCTTCTTCTTCTGGCCGATCGAGGTCTTGGGCGGCGAGGAAGACGGCGGTCCATTGTGAATCGGAGGCTGATGCGGATGCACGGGGTAGATAGCCGGAGGGGGCACGTGGGGCAGGGTCGGCGCCGCCGTGGCCGGTTGATGATGATCGTGATGATGATGAATGCTGCCCCCTGGGTAGAATCGATCTCCCCCCTTGAGGACGCTTGGTGGTGGCGGGGGTGGCACTCCTCCACCCAAAACTGCGGTGCTGGTCGAGCTGCTGCTAGGCACGGTGCTGCTGGTCACTGCTACAGCTGCAACGATACACAGAAAAATTACATTCTCATTCTCGGTTATTGCACTGCTCTTATCTGGCGCTCCAACGGTATGCGCGCGCTCTGATTGGTCCGGGTTTTTCGTTAATATCTGCTTAACAAAGCCCCATCCGACATTTTCGCAAAGGAAAAACTTGTTTCAAATCACCTCCCGAACCACCCCTTTCAAGGAACTCCAACATTTTTAGGACACCCTGTATAAACCATATTCGGTTTAAAAGCAATAAATAAATAATACATATTATGCGTAATACGGTAAAAGTTTCAAAATGTATAATATGTATTTATAGTTTACACAGATATCATTTTAAACTTTGATGTTTCTATCCTTAGTATTCTTTTCTGGAATTGTACATGTATGAAGTTATAATATAGCAAGTATGATAAACTCTAACAAGAAAGAGAACATCATAATATTTTTTGTTGCTTAAAGTATAATCTATGTATTTGTAGAATTTATATTATACCGGTTGAATTTTCAATTCATGCAGATAAATCTCGAAGAGTACCATAGATTCAGACTAGACTATAAATGTACGTTATGTTGTGAAAAGCCCAACAAGTACGAGTATTTCGACACTTTTAGGACAACAATTTCTAGAATATCTATAAAATTCACGCCATTTCTCAAAGCCGTGGTAGGTGATGTGCTAGTGTCAAGAATGCGTAAGGTCCTAAGCAGAAGAAAAGATCCCGAACATTTTCAAAGAAATTATTTCGTAAAACTGATAGAATAATAATATACTATTAACATTAACACATTAATAAAATTTCTGTTAATGTGAATATGAATTAATTCACAATTGTATACTATCCCATTGAAAAATAATATAGAAAAGTGAAAGATAATATAACAAAGAAATAATATGAAAAGAAAAGAAATTTCGAAGACTAATACGTATAGCACTCGAATTTTGAGCAATTTTCAGTGCTTCTACCGCGAATGTAGTCGCCTTAACGACCATAAACAGGCTCAGCGAAATTGCCATCGATTTCAATTACCGGTGTTGCAGGACCCGTTCGGTATTTTCAAGCGGCACTCGAATCGAAATAGACGTGGTTATGGTTGCGGCCGTTAAATTTTATTTAATCGCACCGACGATCATTCGGCTATACAGCGTATGACGATCGTATATAATAATAGAATTGTACATACCGAATGTTACAGTTATAACCGTAAATACCGAGATGTAAAAATTGGATACGAGAGTTTGCAATCATGACTTGCTGGAGCGGGCAACAGGTTTTCTTACTTCCGGGTAACGTCAAAGCGAAACATTCCCCAAAAGAGTGTAAAATTGATCGATTAAAAGATGAAACACGATAAATAATAATAAACTGCATTATTACTCACCAGCTCTTGATGAATTTGATTAAATTATTAATTACATTATATTAAATACAATGAAACCTTTTCGGAGGCGGCGCAAAATTTAAAATTATCAGACTTGATTTAACTTTCTGTCGGAGCATATACAGGGTGTCCCAACCTAAGTGTTTCAGAGCGCTAACTTCTAAACTATTGGCCGAATGCAAAATTTCAAATATGGAAATTGCATGGTAAAATGGGGCTCATGTTTCAGCGAGAAGGAATTTTTGTTAACTTTGTTATTTGACGAGATATGATGGTCAAGTTTCGTTTTTCAAATGGAACTATATATTTATTTTTTATTGAAACACAAGGCCCATTTTACCACGCAATTTCCATATTTGAAATTTTGCATTCGGCCAATAGTTTTGGAGTTAGAGCTCTGTATCATTTAGGCTGGGACACTGTATGTCTCTTAGATACCCACCCCTCCGCTGTCAGCCCATTCTTATTTCTTTTGCCCGTAGTTTCGCCCGAGTAGCCCCGACCACCGATGTAATATGATCCTCACCGATTGATACGCTTCTGTCGAGTGTTTTCTTTTTCTCGGACCTCTTTCTCTTTCATTATCTCTCCTTTTCTATGTTCGACGCTTGACTCGTGTCAAGTGTAAACACATAAAAACCTCGGTGCAATGTTTTGGGTCTCCGATTTTGCATGCCTCCTTCAGTCGTTATTGTATCTTCTAATGTTTTGCTAACAAACTTCGAGTGTAGAGAAGGACAGCGAATGAAGAAGAGGACGGAGCGATATGCGAAAATGGCGACCAACACCGGGATTATTTCAGTGAGACAATATCTAGTAAATATATTGCGAATTACGTCGTATTTGGTCTCATTTTAATCAGAAAAATGTCAGGAATATGATGGTAACAGTTTTACAACAAAAACGGTAATAATAAAAAAAGTTTGATCGTTGCATTAGCATTGTCTCAACGAGATATCCGATCCCGGATCATGTTACTGTAGTCCATTTATCATAGAGAAACTTGTGCATTTAAAGAGACTGTTGAATTATACAGGGTGAGTCTTATAGCATGACGACCTCAAATAACTCGTAAGGTACAGGTTGTACGACAAAATGTTTCAAACTAAAGTTGCATGGTATCTAGGGGGACATACAGTGATGTAATCTGTTTTTTATTACCTTACGTTTTTATTGAGATATTAGGGTCACCTTCAGTTTTTTAAATGGAATATCTAATACTTCTTTTCGAATTCGGATAAATCATCAAATTTTGCTTAAAAAGCAAAATTTACATGAAGTGGGACTTGAAATGAATAATTATTGAGATATCTTCAAATTAATAATCTTCTATTAGGAAATACGCTTAGTCAACGTGATTCTTAGCACGACTTTATTCACGTTGGTAGGTCATGTCTGTAAACAAATTCCCTGTTAAATATTAATAATCATCAACACGAAATGTCTATTTAGTATCTCGGTAAACGTTAAAGTCGTATTGAGAAAGGTGCTACATTTTCATTACGATGTTCAGTAACAGTGAAACAACGTTATCATAATTATTTATGATGCGTGTGAAGAAAATGCTATAAGAGCTAAGATCTTGTACCAAGCTAAGTATCCTGATCGAAATCAGCCATTGCATTCTACCTTCTTAAGGCTTAGTCGAAGACTCAAAGGACATGGCAATTGTAATGTACAGAAACGTGAAAAAAAAAATATACATATTGAATTGAGTAACCTCCTCCTATTCGAAGTCGGCTAAAAAGAAGATCTACTAGCAAGATTTCGAGATAAACTACATTGGTAGCAATTTTATTTAACATAGACTGTACTTGCTGTATAGAAATAAATGTACCGAATAGGCAAATTCAATATTTTGAATAGTATGTTACGTATAATGTGATACTGATCTAGAGTTCATACTCTATTTGTTTGTGTCGACATAAAATAGAACATGTGACACGCATGCGTTGCTGGTATTGGACATATGTATATCATACATGATATGTGATACGTGGTAGCCATTGCGTTAAGGATTTAATTACAATTTTTGAAAAATAATTACAAAATTCCAGCCTATCCTACATATCAAATCAAAATACACAATGCTATAGCGAGATACTAGTATGTGCCATTCATTGTTATTTTAGTTATACATATTTAAGAGACGGTAGCACTTTGTTATTTACGCTTCCTGGTCTAACCAAGGAAGACCTATCTAGTATAAAGTTTGCACTTGTGTAGAATAAGTATTCCAAATTACGTTTTCCAATTATTTCAATTCCATGTTTATTAATTTCGTGGTTGGGGTAATACAGTTTTCGAATATATTAAAGGCATGATGTACACGTGTATTATAGAGTAAAGGCTGACTAGAGTGGACTATCCGTTGTACAATAATATCAAAAATGAATTCTAAAGTACATATTTACTTAACGAAGGAAGGAAATTGTTATTTAGGATATTCCATAAGGAAGCATCGACTCCTTCGCATTCAGGAAAATTCATTTTTATCAGCTAACCCTCAAAGACCGACGAGGATCAGCATTTACCCATGGAATAAAATTGAAAATTAATTCCTCGATTTCGCAAGGGTAATTGCCTCCGTAAACGTCTCTCGCCATCGAGACCGAGGAGCGTTTGAAGTTTTCCGCGAGATTAACATTTCTCGAGGTTCGTGGCCGACGATAGTAATCGTAGAGCACAAGGGTCGCGCGCGATAGCCACGCAGCTAGAGCTGCCGGAAAGACCGAATATTCAAGCGGCTTTCAAGCCGAGTCAAACCGGGACCCGATTTCCGAGGCGAGTCGAGTACTTGAAAAAACCGAGTAGCTTGAAAGATTCAAGCTACCCGAAGGAAACCAAGTAACTTGAATTTTTCAAGCTACCCGAATAGAATCGAGCGGTTCGAAGAAACCAAGCGGCCCGAAAGAACCGGGAAACTCGAATGGTTTCAAGCTTTTCCGATAACACATGTTAGTCCGCCGCCGGGCAACAATGGAATCATAAAAAGGGACGTAGCAAACTAGACCCAAAGAAGCTCGACCATCATTTTCCGTATTTCTTATCGGATCTTAACGGATGTATGTATTATCAATCGATTCCTTATGTTATCCTGATGAAAATGATACCAGACACGATATAATATCGATTAATTTTAATTATTCGTGTAATGTAAATTCTACATATCACGCTATTACACAGCAGAAAAATCTTAAATGTTTGGTACCATTTTCATCAGTATAACATCAGGAATTCAGTAGTGCAATTTATTTCTTTAACTTTTATAAAACACAACAAAAAGTGAACATATCATGACAAACATTTCACACTTTATTGCTCGGACCCTTTGAGGTCCGTTGTGGGTTAAAGTTGGCACCGTGCGCTATGAATGGTTCCACCCATGGTTTATGGCTTTCAGTAATCACCCGATTTCACTTCATGTGCATCGTATTATTACGGGAGTAACGCCGATGGATTCCTTACGTTTTCCTGATGAAAACGTTACTAAACACTATGTAAATCGGACTATTTTTAACGAAGATAGGCAAAAAGCGTGCAAATCATTTTTTCCGTATAATTTCCTTCTAAATAATCCGAATTGTATCGTGTCTGGTAGCATTTTTATCGGAATAACATAAGGAATCGATTGGTAATACATACGTTAAGATCCGATAAGAAATACGGAAAATGATGGTCGACCTTCTTTGAGTCTAGTTTGCTACGTCCTTTTTATGATACCATTGTTGCCCGGGCGGCGGACTAACATGTGTAATCGGAAAAGCTTGAAACCATTCGAGTTGCCCGGTTCTTCCGGGCCGCTTGGTTTCTTCGGACCGCTCGATTCTATTCGGGTAGCTTGAAAAATTCAAGTTACTTGGTTTCCTTCGGATAGCTTGAATCTTTCAAGCTACTCGGTTTTTTCAAGTACTCGACTCGCCTCGGAAATCGGGTCCCGGTTTGACTCGGCTTAATTTGTTCGGGTACTGGAACAGCCCTACACGCAGCGTGCCAGCTAGTCGACAGCAGAGACGGGGAAACTTTTATTCGATTAATAAATGTACGGCGTATTCGAATTTAATTAACAATTAATCAATCACCATTTATAATATTACCAATTTACATTAATTGAGATACATTCTTTATTCACTTTAAAATATGTACAGGATGGTTCATTTAAATCAGAATTATTAAATATCTCATAAAGGGATAAAGTTACCAAAAAAATGTTTTCAGAAAAGTTATTTGGTTCGAATGGACAAATTATACGGTATAAATAACTTCGTTATAAGTAAAGTAATGGGAAAAATTTGAAAAACAAATCAATTGTTTTAATGCAACCTTATAATTTTTTATCCATAATATAATAGCATTTGTTTAGACAAATTCATTGACCTATAATAAACGGTTATTTATTGAAATATAATTTAAACGAAACACTTTGTGCATAGGTGTTTACAATATTAATTTTATTTTTAGTTTTGAATTTCAATAATTTCAAATAAATGTCAACACAGAATAAAAGAAAGGATTTAAATTATAGACAATGAGAGAATAAATAGAAAATGAAAGAATCGTATTTAATTAAATTTCCTCTTTGTCAGAGTAGATAGAGAAAAAGTTTATCAAACCTTGTTATATAAAATTTTCGCTATTTACAGTATACGACTCGACCAATTTTCAATATTGATTAAAAAATTCGAAAATAAAACTCGGTACGAAAGAATGTCACTCTATAAATTACGATTTATTTTTACATATAACTGCACCATGCTGAATAAAACGAACATGTAGCAATTTAAATATGAAATATTATACCTTTCATCGACCACTTTATTTTTACTGTTTTCGTTAGGTATCTAGGATTTATTTTATTTACACTTAATTTTTTTTTTTATCGATGTAGGCTTTTGAAACATTAAATAAGAGACTACTTTCCAATATCTCTACTATATTAACAAATTCCATTCGAAGTTGAAGAAAGTCGAAAGCTGTTTTTAAAATACCAATCGAAACGTAAAGAAATACGAGTGTAATATTTCGCTTGTGTCCGAAAATACCCAAGTATCTAACGATTAATTCTATACATTCAAATTCTAATCGTTATTCAACTCGCGAAGGATCGGTTGTTTATCTTCTATTCGTTATTGGAGATTCTCATCTAGATAAGAATTTCGCCGATCTCCGACCGACGCGAGAGGGTTTCGAGGCCGGAGAGTCCCGTGGAATCTTGAATGTCTGACGCCGAAGAGTTCAGAGTTCTCGGGCTGCGAAATAGCTAGTCATTACGGCGCATGAATCGTCTCTGGCGAGTGTCGGGGGCCGCTGGTAGCGGGCAGCGAAGGAGACGGAGGTGGATGTTGCGAGAAGAGGAGGCACGAGGTTGGAACGAATTAGGAAACGAACAGAGAACCGGGGCTAGAATGGAATAGTGGAATTTATTGTGCTCTGGGACACAGTGTTAGTCCCCTAACCGCAACAAATGGTGCACGGTAAGAATTATAATTGATAGGGATTATTTAACAGGAGTGTTGGGCGGAGGAGTAGCACGGACAGAGGGTGAGGAGGATGAGTTCAGAATACGCCGGTGGAAATATCGAGGCCCGTCTGTTGCGAGAATCGTTCTTCCTCTTTGTTGCCGATCAAAGGGATAATGAATTTATGGCCTGGTCTTCTTCTGATTCGTTTCCTTCTGTGTCTACGACGTGGACCCGAGGATATCGTGCGCGGAACTGACGCGAAAGCGTGAAGACTTTAAACGTGATTTACACGCGGAATGAAAAGGCGGCGGCGTCCATTCCGTGGATAACGTCTATAATTTCGAATTATGATAATCGGGGGTATTAGAATGTGGGCCGTACCCGCAAAACGACTCCTTGGATGCCTGGTTTTTGATGGTTTAACGTTCGCTACCACGTGTCACATATGTATGCGTGGCTCGTCTATTCTCGTGACGTTAGAATATTTTGAAAAATACTGACCACTTGAAAAATTGTGATTATAGAAGCCAAAAATATTTTTAGAGAGTTTTGCTTTTCTCTTCGTATCAAGAAAATTTTAAGGTAGCTAACTTTCATTCGGATAGTATATGACTCTAGCTTTCAAAATGCACCAGTGTTAATGTATGTACCGCATTGCGTTGTTCCATTAATTATAGAATAGTTGAAAACCTTCTTCACGAATACATAACACTAAAATACACGTATTTTACGTTGAATAATGGCAAAAAGTAAAAGAAAGTTTATAAATATGACTAGACTAAGAACGACTTATGTCAAGGAGTCCAATTCTCGCCTAATCAAATATGTAAATGTGTCCACATTTATACTATTTCAATAACTACAGTTACTAAAAGGGTATGGCCACGTCAGAAATATCCAAAAATCGATTGTTTTTTTTTTTCGTTAATATGTTGCCTTAAAGCTTTAAGAATAAGGAAAACAATATTTCATAGTTCAGAGAAATCTCAAAAAGGTCGTTTTCGAATGTTTTGTCAAGGTACATACATTTTTCAAATCGGGCGAAACGATAACTCCTACAAATCTTGTCCAATTCTCTTAAAATTTGGAGAGTGACATCTCTAACATATCATCTAGTAGATAAGGTATGGTTTTTGCGATAACTTGTAAACTTTTTCTTTTACAGACAATTTTTCGATGAAATTTTCGGAAAATAATTGATTTTTTGTTTGTTTATGCACCATTTTGCGAGAAAACAGTATTTTTAAATTTCCACACGCTATCCACTAGCTTTTGCAATATATTTACAGAAAATGTTCGGCTTTTTGTTCTAGGTTGAAATCTGTGTGCTCAATCCCTTCGCCCGTTTGAAACCTCGCGTAAAAGGTGCTTTGAAATCTTGGGTACTGAAGCCGCCATTTTAGAAGAAAAACACGAACAAAACTTTTTGTTACACATTAATATGAATTTAATAAAATATCCTACTTGAATTTTTCACTGCTTTTAATAAATTTCTGAAAAAAAATTGTCGAACTTTGAACTTATTTTTGAGGCACCTGGAGTAGCCTTACCCCTTAAGGATAGTCTGCTAAGACACTTTTATATCAATATATTTTTAACTATCTAAGATGATCCGTAAAACACCACAATACACATTCATTTTTCAATTTCATTGCTTCGATGATAACTTTCCCTTTCTCTTTTTCACGAATTACAGATACCAAACAACGAATGTCTATTTAATTTGGCTTGCTTTACATTATGTGCAATGTATAGGGTACTCACAGTTGTTGCGCGATGTCGCAGAGGACGAGGAGGTGTCAGTGTCGTTGCCGCAGCAGACTTTAAAAACGACCTTCATGTTGTTGCTGGTGCACCTTCCACCGATGCGCTTGTAGAGGTCGTCCTTGGACGAGGTGCTGATGAAGTAGTAATCGTGTCCTGGCAGGAATTCTAAACCTCCGGGTTGCGGTGTAAACGGCCTGAAGGTGATCGTGAAGTACATTGTTTTGTTGGGGTTGTTGCAGATCGCTATAAACCGCGGATTCGGATTCGTTATCCGACATGTCTCGTACTCTTCCTTGGACACCTATGAAAACATGCAGGCAGCGTTAGAAATCTCCTAAGGACAAATCGATTGGGAACGCTCCCAGTTTGTCACGAACGGTGGCCCTTCCATCGAACGTTCTCTTTGTTTTACGCGAGGCCTTACCGTCTAGGGGAGTAACGTATGTACATACAATCTTACTTTACGTTGAGAAGAACTTTTACTTTAAAAATAAGTCAATAAATTGTAAGCAGCCTTTATGCATGTTACAACCGTGCCGCTTGAGGCGCTGCAGTGTGTGCGCAGGTGCGCAGTCGTTGTACGTTGTACGTTGTATGTTGTACGTTGTACGAATCGTCCGTTGCGAGTTAGTTAATCTTAGTTAGAACTAGTTGTAATATTAATTAGCAGACTATTCATTAGTATTATTCAGCCAAATAGTTTAGTTTGCTATTGTATTAACTTTACATAATAAATCTCTTATAAAATATCATTGTAATTATTCAAATTCACGTATATAGATTTACTTTTTAATCCAATTACACTGATCGAACCCTAAGTAACTTGAACACGTGGCAAATATTTGTTTACCAAATGAAAGAAGAAGGTTAAACCTTCTGAGAAGGTTAAACGGCGATGGCGTGCGTCTATTGTCGAATTCGATCGCAGTGCGGGAATCGCTATCGAGACAATACTAGAGAGGAAAAGGGCAACGTAGTTTGGTGATTAGATCCTAGCGATGATTGGTGGCTCGTGCTTGCGTCTGCTTCACCGAACGACAGCCATAGTTTCCGATAAAAGCAAGAAGAGGGGAACTTTCCACGACGCCAGCAACAATTTGATTTAGAGACACGCGGTGCTTTCTACCTTCGAAAATTAAACGCTATAACGAGCTAGACCGATTATTCCAGATATGTTGAAAAGGATATTTTGTCGTGAATACTTTCAAGTATTGAGCTATGGACAATTTTCCTGGCAGTTCCTCGAGGGGTAACGCTAGCGTCATAAGTTAGCTACGAAGCGGAAGTCGTTCTTGGGGGTCCGATTCGAGCGAGTTAACGAACGAGTTCGAGTAGTAACAGCTGTCTAAACATCCACGGAACGCCCTTTGACAATTTTTTCGTTCGTATAATGGGTCGCGGCAGAGTCGTGTAACTCGATTTATCTGTTGTTCTATACACGCGGCGCCACACTCTTTCAAAATAGCCATCTGACCAGGAGAAACCTATCATTTTTATCTTTTTTTATTACTCATTTCTCAGTTCCTTTGAATTCTTAAATCTGTAGAGATTCCTCGATTAGAATGTTCTCTTCCTATGAAATTTATTTAAATAGAGTGCTATTTATAGAGACATCTGTAACCTTTAATGTCCCTAAAAATACCATTTAATGCCGATGCCAGAGAGTAACAGTACGCATCTTGTACCGGAAGTTATATACTCTGTTTTACAGTAAAATGATTGAAAGAATTTAACGACAGTTTGAAGTAGACGTACTAAAAATTAACCAATCTTGTACTAAACGCAATTTAAGGCTTAAAGCCTAAGAGGTAAATAAACTTCCAAACGAAATAGCAACTTTACTGAGATATATAGATTTACACATTATTTGATTTACTAATATCAACAGCGATACTAATAATTCTTCCGATGCCTCTGATTACTATAATAATTACAAATATTATGTATACCAAGTAAAGTTATTGTAAAATTCAAACAAGGGTAGTGATAGAATAATCCGGATACGAAAAATAATTTTAAAAGGTCGCAATCTCTAATGATCTTACATCTTTCCAATGGTTCACACGTTTTTGAAATGAAACATAGTTATTCGCGGTCAGTTGCGGCTGTACGAAAACACTGTGGTGAGAAATAACCGCACTCGTGACAAACTCATACCGGAACGAGACGAGGACACTTTGCATCGCAATCCTGTACTTACATTGTAAATAATATACTTCTCCGTCTTGTTGTCCGGCGTCCCCACTTGGTACACGGGACATATTATATTCACTTGATCGTACTCGAACTGCGCGTTATTCTTATTCACGTCTATTATGTGGTCTGTGTTGTCTATTCGAAATCTGAAACAGAAAAATTAACTTATCAGCGCTAGACCAGACATATGTAGTCACTCGAAGACAATTTATTCATATGATAGCTTATTTTTCGAGTGCGTTTATACATCGATGCTTTGAATCAAGATACTCTTTACTTTCTTAAAGTTTTTCCTAAGTATTTTTGTTCAGGAAAAACTTACAAGGAAACATATCCAACTCCAATACACCAATTATGATGAAACTATATATGAGAGTTCTCAAACAAATATTTGACACGCATTTTTTTTATCGGCATGCGTGGATATTGAAGGGATGATAACAGTCCCTAAAGTGGAGTGAAAATGGGTTGTACATTTGAATTTTCTTCTCTAGAACTATTCATCCTATTGATCTCTCTTTTTTTTTATTTTAATTAGGAGTGGTTGTTCTTCCTGGATATATTTTTATTTGGGGCAGATATGATTTTTGCAATATTACAAATTATAAATAAATTTTTATTTTACAAATACCACCTCGAGGTCATGTTTTTAAAATTCCTTGAAGTTTTCTCTATAAAGAGGCTAAGTTTCATTCTGGTGTTCTTTTCATTAGCGTCGTAATAAAATATTAAAGACAGTCGCCTCGTACCGCATCAGGTAGACGGGCCGTGGGATTCGCTATTATGGAACGAACCGTATTAAAAACTATAAGAATGGGAACTAAGATTTTAATTAGAAGTTGTTTTTTCATAAATCAATAGTTTTCTTCATTGATATATATGCATTCATGAATACAATACAATATTATTGCACTAGCCTACGTGTAATCCGTACATTTATTGTATTAAATAAATAATATCGTTACAGTTTCGTAATAAATGGACTGCGGATCTTTATGCAAAATAAAATCTTCGCAAACGTGACTACAGAGAGTGAACCTAAATAGGAATTTAATTTATTCTGCAAATATTATAACATGAACTTTACTTTCAATCTTTTTTATATTCTTGCATATTGGTTGCATTTTGCAATTTCTTGCACGTTCAAATTTCCTATAAATGCATAAAGATCCGCAGTCTAGTAATAAATGTACAAACACTTATTTCAAACAACGAGCACAAAGTATAGAGACAAATTACAATTTTGTGTTACCTTTCTACATAGGACCTGACAATCACATTATACAATTATGAATCGAATAAGTTTCTTTATTCGAATAGATGCATATTTTAGACGCGATCGGTACCCGCTGCGCATCATTCATCGCACGAAAAATTAATTCACAAACATCTACGCGATGACTACAAAGCATTAACGACCACGTTTCGCGGCAGGTTTCGTTCTCCGCAGGATATCTCTAAGCGAGCACAATAGGTCGGTCCGTTTCCGCGTATCGGGTCGCTCGGAAACCAGGCTATCCGTGAAACATACGCGAAATTCCGACGCCCCCGGAGGTTTCCTCGCAGGGAGTACAAGGTTCCCTCTGGGACCGTCGGCGTCGGTAGCCAGATCAGGAAAGAAAGAAAAAGAAGCGATGCCTGGACTCGCCCTCGTAGGCACCCAATGTCAGATAGGCAGGCGCCCATGGTGTCGAGATCCCATACAAGTGTACACACGGTCTTTCTGCATGTATATGTACACACGGACACTACATGTGAATCTGTATGTATAGGTACTGGGCCTGTATTATGTAGCAGAGGTTGCTGGATACTTGGTGAGGAACGAAAGGTCGCCGAATGAGTAGACTAAAAGGTAAAGAAGACGAAGAAGAAGAAGAAGAAGAAGAAGAAGAAGAGAAGAAGTAGATGATGATGACGATGAAGAAGAAGTAGAAGAAGAAGGTGAAGAGGACGGTTCCTCTATAACCGGTTCTTTCCAACGGCGCTCACACACGCCAATACATGGTGTGTCTCCCTTCCTCCGAGTTGCACGAGTGTCCAGTAACGTTCCCTGCTGTTCACACCGCCCTATTTCGGGGTCTACGAATCGACGCTGGGACTATTTTCTCCAATCCTGCGAACGCTCCACTTGTTTCGCCCCCGACGTATTTATTTTCCTTTCTCTACGTAAATACGTACCTAGACGGCCGCGAGTATATTTGTTCTTGCATTACATAAATTAGATACAACCGCGAGATGATGGCCGATTCTACGAAAGAATGTTCAGGCACCGTTAATGTACGGTTTCCTTGTTTTCGTAAGATAGGGCTCCGGTTTCTTTAGATGGAAAAGTAACTTTTTTTTTAATCTTTGAGGTATTATAATTGCGGTTTTTTGATTGATTATAATTTGTGATTTTTCAGTTTGTCGTTTTTGAACCATATACACATATATGTACAACCAGTACTGTTATGAATGAATAATTAATAAAATAGCAGACAGTTTATAAGAAACTTTTCGAATTAGAGTTTTAAATCTATTTGAATTTGGCAGTTGAGACACAAAGAGGAAATGATTTTTAGGATATTTACATGAACATATATTTTTTTATTTATGACAAGTGTTAGAATATAAAGAGTAAAGGTGGCGTTAACGACGTTACGGGATGTAACTAGAATTGGTTAGAGAGACCGTGAGAAAGTTGTATGTTCCTCTATGAAAAGATTTTATATTATAAAGATAGCTAAGTTAAAATATGTAGCTTTTTATAATAATAAACAACATAGTCAAATGTTACTACATCGACATGTATTTATATTCCAATATCTTAACAATGGAAAAGATAAATCTGTTTCATAATTTGGTATGCCTAACGATGTAATTTCATAAAAAAAATTTAATTAAATCAGCAAGGATAAAAATTTATATCTTTTTTGAAAATCAAATCAATATTCTAATCAACATCCTTCACTTTCGTCGAATAGTGATCATACATATTTACAGTTTAAACATCAATAATGTCAAATTTGAATATCGTGTGATAATTTGCTCCCAAAACACACGTCACATCCAATCAACCAGAACCCTACCTTAACGCTCGAACGAACGTGCTCGTTCCTTTTCACAACGCTCCATTTAATTTCGAAGCGGAGGTCTCACAAACAAATTCCTTCCACGTGTTACGCGCTGCCTCGCGCTATGTATCGTGTCGCTTACGCATGCAAGTTTGACAAGGAATGTTGTTATTAGAAATTTTACAGTCGAGCATTGATCTTTCAGAATCTTTCACCAAATGATTTCATGTTAAAAAAGATATTTTGATATAGAAAGGTTTAGGAATTATTCGAGAATATAATATATATTTATAGGTTGAAGCAATACAGGGAGATGGAGTTCCTTGAGGGCTAGCACGTTATACAAAGAACCGGCATGGTGTTGCAGATGTATGCAGTTGATTTCAAAGTGATGGTGAAAGAATTAAGAAATCATCAAGCTTGAAATTATATTAGGTGGACTGGAAAGTAATGTCGTTTCCGCGAATCTCAATACTTATTTATCATTCATCAGCTCATTGATTTTTATCGATCTTGCATCGAAAATTTTGCACACTAGATGGCAATGGGCTATTGATGCCGAGGGTGAATACATAATGGCTTAAAAATAGAAAATTGTTAAGAGTATTTGTTTGAATTCAATTTAAAAGAAATGACAATACTTTTCGATCCCCCTAATAATTTGTTGTAATTATCACTTTATACGTTACAATTCTGCAATGTGCAATTTGTTTGTACGTCAAAAAACTTTGAGAAGTACTTGTTAGAAGTAGATATGCTTCTATGTACCTTTAATAGATGCACTAATCCCTACGGATCGAATACTTAGAGATGTTATATCTAGATATTAGATATTTCGAGATTGCGTATTAAAGGATTGAATATTCATACGACGAATAGATAGAGGTTCAGTATTTGGAGATCGAACACGTACAATTTAAAAACTTAGATGCCAAGGATTTAGAATATTTGGAGGTTCAGTATCTAGAGAATAAATGTCTGAAGATTTAGTACTTAGAAATCAAGGACTAAAAGCTGAAAATCTCAAAGTCCATTAGGTAGAGATCGAGTACTCTCAGCGGTGGTCTAATATCGATAGAGCGCGTCTGATTTCTCATCGTGGGTGCATACGTTATTTCCTCAACACGTGTCGCGGCCGTACGGTTGAGGTCTAAAGAGATTCGGAGCGAGGTGTACCCGTCGACTGGCTACGTGGAGCCCGTAAAGCTCTCTCCGTGGCGGTAAAACGCGGGCGTCGAAAACGCGTCCCGACGTTTCGGAGCATTAACGGACAATCTCGTAAGTGGGCGTGTAAGGGCTCGAAAATTGGAAGGTAGGCCGGGCCTCGACCAAATTAACGTTTGGCGATAATATCCGCTCTCTCTCGGTGCCCCCATGTCGGTTCGTCGGCTCGGTACCCACCCTAAGCGCGCAACCAACGCCAACAACCTCGGGACCGAGAGGCACGCGCATACAACCGTGATGCCAACCCGTATTCCATCCTGGACCCTGTGTGTGCGTTACGCGTGGGTGTATAGGACATTTCAGTCGTAGCCCCGGCCATTCACGAATTTATTAGACATCGTATACGTACGATCGTGGCCCGAATTACTCGCGATAAAAGCACGCCGTGGCTCCTTTTGGTACTTTCGACCAGGCAACTCGGTTTCCACGGAGGTTGATGTACCTTGGGCCACGTCTTGTTCCCGGTCGTCGACGCGTTAATGGCGGCGATGCGTGGTGAATTGTGATGTATAAATTCGCTGGAGATTCCGTTTTGAGGGAAACGAGTCGAAACGGGTCGCTACGAGTCCCTAATTTTCTTTCTTTGCGCTGGTAGACGAGACGAGATAAGACATGATGGCAAAGGATAAAGTGGTCTTACGATTAACCAGAGCTGGCTTCGCGTGGAAGCGAACGATGCATCGCATACAGCCTCCTCTTGGTGCCTCAATAAAAAGGAGACAAAAGTAAAATGAGAACCGATTAAAGAGTTTTTCAATAGGAACCTATGTTCTTTTGCTGTTCAATTTCTCCATTTTTTCATAAAATTTTCACAGCCATGCCAGTACTTATTCGTTAGTCCTAGATACAGTTTGGACAAGTGTTTCACG